CATGCTGTGCCTCCTGATAAAGTTGTACAGTTGGAGAAATAGCAAACTGAGTTATAACATCTTCAAAGCTATTTGTTGTTCCTTTTAAAATGTATTTTTATGAGAAGCATGAAATGCGGCCTTAGATAAACCTTTGTAAGCCTCCCACTTAGTGGTGTATGTGTTAGTTCCCACTTAGTATAAGTCTTAGAGAAAATCTGAGTTTTGAAAGATTTATAATTCAATGAAGAAACATTAAAGTACAAAAGATGATTAGCCCTTGGCCAATTTCTAAACTGTAAGTCCAAAGAAACTGGTGCATTATTTGATATTACTGCATCACTTCTCCAAAAAGTTATGATTGGAGAACGCTAGTAAAACTATTCATTTGAATTTAGTCTTACGTGGGGTTGCCAATGTTAACACCAGTTTTGTAAAAGGATGGGAGCCAGGTCAGTAAGCTTAATATTTGTTCTGGGTAAACTGCTTGAAAACATTATTAAAGATAGAATCAGCAGGGACATAGAGGGACAACCCATGCTGGAAAAAAAAGGATTCAGCATGGCTTCCGCAAGGAGATGTCTTATCCCACTAACCGTTCTTTGAGAGTGTCAGTAAGTACATAGACAGGGGCAATCCAGTAGACATTTTTTACTTGGACTTCCAAGTGGATTTTGACAAAGTCCTTCACCAAAGACTCTTGAGCAGACTGAGCAGTCAAGGAATAAAAGGGAGCCCTCCTTTGGATCACTAATACATTAATAAACAGAAGACAGAGGTTGGGAATAAATGGTAGTTTCTTCCAGTGGAAAGACATAAAACAGTGGAGTCCCACAGAAAGTATGAAACAGAAGGATTGTTTATTAGCATGATGATGACATCATCTGACAGCCCTATCTACTTATACTTAGGTGGAATTGTCTCCATAGCCAGAAAAAAATGGAACTCCTCAGAATTATATATTGTTGTGAGCTTTCTAGATTATAATGAAAAATAATTGCAGAAGGTTGTCTTGAATGAAGAAGAAAGATCCATTATATCAGGTCATGTACTTCACCAGGGATACCACAGAGGAGGAGGATGGAGGCAAGATGCAAACAAGGTCCATAGTATGCACAGGTCCAATGTAGACAAGGCATGGGACAGCCAGAGGCTGTCCAGAACAGATATGGGTCAATCAAGAACAAGGCATAGCAGGGCTGGAGACAGGAACAACATCAAGAGCAAGATCCAGCCACCCTGAAGGCCCATGTCATTGTGACAAAGCTGAGTAGGAAGGGGTAAGTTCTTGTGATTCTGAACAGGCCTGCCTGATTGGACTGGCAAAGATCCTGCAATCAGTCCCTTGTTTGGTGCTTAATTGTACAAATACCCACATGCAGATCAGCCTGCCTTCTCAACCAAGCCGCTTGGGGGAGCTGTGGCACTTTTGCAGAATGAGCATATATCCCGACACATTACCTTTACAAAAGACTTGCTCTTGGTAATGTTGAAAACTGCTAGAAGTACTTTGTTGCTATGGATCAACACAGCTGACTGCATTTTTAGATGCTTTGAGGGGCATGGCCAGAATGAGTTCCTGCACTTCTAAATTTGGCCAGAATGAGTTCCTGCACTTCCAAATTCCTTACAGCAATTACAGTCCTTCATTAATAAAACATCTGAAATGGTTAAATAATGCTCTTTGGTGGACAGCATCAGCAAATTTGTATATTCGACTAACCAGGGCTGATCTTTCATTTGCTCCCCATATATCTGTGATTTCGCAATGAAACAATCCATATTTCAAAATCCCCCCTTCTAGTTCAGAATATTTGGACAGAAATTTTCATTGCTGTAAACTGGATGTCCCCTGGAAATTAGGTTAGGACTGCATTCACTAATCTTGATTTTTAAACACACAAACTCCATTTATCTATGTAGATTTGACATGGGCTATACTGCCTAATGCCTGTGGGGAATGTGCGACCCCCGGGGTTCTTGTAGTCTATGACAGTCAGAGCACTTGAAAATAAAAGGACTTGTTGCTTAGCAAAATACCACTATTCCTTTCTAAGCTTGCTTTTCCCCACTGATCTTGAAATGATGTATTTATTTAGTGTTCAAAAATTCTTAGTCTCTTTCAGTGGAAATTATATTAAATTAAATCATATTTCTATACTGCTCCATAGCTGAGGTTCTTTGGGTAGTTTGCAACAATTCATAAAATACAGTAGAAAATGCAAATGCAATAAACATAAATTTTTACTATATACATTTAAAAACTGAATTTAAACAATTTGAATAAAACTAGCAAATACAACATGATCCACAAAAATGCTGACATGTGCTCCTCCCATGCAATTTACAGCCATTAAATATCATAAAATTACAGCATAGAGTACAGTCTTAACACAGCAGTAAAAGGAGTAGAGTGGTCCTAAGAGGACCTCCATGTGAGGTAGTTTCATAATAAGCAGACCATAGCAGAAAAGGCCTTCTTCCTTATTCTCACTTTCCAAGCCTCTCTCAGAGGAAAGCCTCAGATGTTGAGCATGTTGTCTAGGTAGATTTAGGTTGGGAGAGGTGCTCTGACAGGTACTGCAGTCCCAAAACAGATAAGGATTTCTGGGCTTGGAATTGGGCTTGGAAGCATACATGCAGCCAAAGTAAGTGGATCAGAATTGATGGTACATACTAATACAACGTTGTACTAGTTATTAGTCTCCCTGCAGCATTTTGTACAAATTCTGAACAGTCTTCAAGGGCAGACCCATGTAGAATAAATTGAAGGTTACCAGAGCATAGATTATAGAACCAGACTATCCCTGTCCAGATAGGGGAATAGCTGGGCCACAAGCTGAAGCTGGTAGCACTCTATGCCACTGAGGCTGCAGGAGCCTCAAATGACAAAAATGGCCAAAGAAGGCTCCCAAGCTTTGAACATACTCCTTCAAAATGATTGCAACCCCATTCAGAACTCGGCGAGCTGCCTCCATGCAGACAGAAGAAGTACCCACTAACAGCAACTCGGTCTCGTCTGGAGTGAGTTTCAGATGGTTAAGCCTCATTCAGTTCATTGTCTCAGTCAGGCACTGGTTTATCACCTCCACAGCCTCAGCTGTTGAAGATGAAAAAGAGAGGTAGAATTATGTGTTATCACTGTACGGATGACAACATGTTCTAAACTTCAGCTACCCACTCAGCAGTTTCATGTAAATTCTGAATAGCATGGAAGACTGATCCTTGGAAACTCTCAGCTAGAAAATACATGGGGTGGAGCAACATGCTCCTTCTGGATTCAGCCATCCAAGTAGGAAAGGCATCACTGCAATGCAGTACCCCCACATTCCCAGCTCAGACAGCTGCCCCAGAAGGATAGCATGATTGATTGTACTGAAAGCTGCTAAGAGATCCAGGAATATCAACCGGGTCACAACTATACAGTCTCTGTCCTGGCACAGGTCATCATACAGAGTTATTAAAGGGGATCCATTCCAAAACCTGCCCTGAAACCTGCCTGAAATGGATCCAGATAATCAGTCTTATGGTTGGCTGCCACCACCTGCTAAAGACCCTTGCCAAGGAAAGAAACATTTGCCACCAGCCTAGAGTAGTTGAGGTCTTCTAGGTCCAGAGAGGGTTTCTTCAAGAAAGGCCTTACTGCTGCTTCTTCCTGGAGGCCTCTCTCAAGAAGACAGTGATCACCTTCCTGGCCATGTCAGCTGTCCCCTCTCTGCTAGCTTTTTAAGAAAAGGGGGAAAGTGTCCAGTATGGGTGTGGTTGCACATACCTGTCCAAATCACTTTTCAGCATCCTCTTGTACCAACAGAAACTCATCCAAGAAAAATGGACCAGGCTGTGCTGCAGTTCAACTTCTGCAGGAGTGAGAGAGAGATGAGAACAAAATAAAGCTTTTCCTATTTGCTTTGCCCGTTTTCCAACCACAGGCATGCTCTCAACCATCTTCAAAATCACTCTCACCTAAAGCATTGCAGCATCCATTATTTGGACATAGAGTACCAAGGGCAAGTTATTCCTGTTCAGCTAGAGATGTAGGTAGGCCACCAACTGAAGCCAGATGAATGCAGTCCATGCAACTGAGACCATCTGAGTCTTAACCGATAATCATGGGTCTGGGATAACCCCCAGGCTATATACTTGCTCCTCTAGGGGCACTGCAGCCCCATCCAGAACATCCATATCCTCCATCTGACTCAAGCACCTTTCAGTAACAGCCAGGGACCTATCTACCATCTCACCTGATGAAGATAAAATGGATACACGGAGCTGCATGTCATTAGCATACTGATAACACACTCCAAAGCTCTAGGTGACCCCACTGAATAGCTTCATGTAACTGTTGAATAGCATGGGGTACAAAAGCAATCCCTCCAGAAACCCTTATTGGAGAATTCATAGGGCCAAGAAATATCTCCCAAGCACCAGCTTCTGAAGCCAACAATCTAAGTAGAAGTGAAATCACTATAATTAATTGTCTCCCATTCCAAACTCAGACAATCTCCCCAGAAGGATACCATCATCAATAATATTTAAAGCTGCTGAGAGATTAAGTAGAATCAACAGGATCACGGCTCTTCTGTCCCTCTCCCAATATAGGTTATCACACAGAGCAAGTAAGGCTGTTTCTGTGCCAAAACCTGGTCTGTATCCTGATGGAAATTCAGATAATCAGGAGTATCTAGGAGTATCTACAAATGATTGGAAATGACATGCTCAAGAACATCCAAGAAAGGAACATTTAGCGCTCTCTCAAAGTTGCTGAGAATGGCATACAACTGCCATTCTGGAGACTCATGTCCCAGTCACATCTAAGGTGGGCCTGCCCTGAAAGACACACTGGCTTAGAATTTTCTGGCAAAACTTGTGTTAGGTGTTAGCAGTCTAAATGTTTCACTTTGTCCCACATTCAGTTTTTGAAAAACCACTTTTTAAAAGTTCATTCTATAGCATTTATGAATAAATTTGCAGATTTTGGTAAATTCTTATTAGAAGGCAACCCAAATAAAATTCTCAGCAGCAAAGGTCATATTACGTCAATTTTGTTCCAGCTTTATTGACTTCATCAGTTTCTGTGCTCCATTCAATGTGCTAGCATGCCCTTAATCCAGGATGTTTAGGACATAACAAATATAAATTCCTCCAATATGAACTTGAAATCTTTGTTCTGAGGCTGTCCTTATTATTGCCTCGCCAACAGAAGTGCCGTTGTTGGCAAGAATGGTGGAGGAAGTCTTCTCAGTTTTGAAATTAGGAATATCCTCACAAGAAATGTAATATGCCGTTTGAGAATATATTTCACACTCATTGGTGATGCAGGAATATACTGAATGAAATAGAATGCTACCCCCATTACCCCCCATACTCATTAGTGGTGCCTACATGAGTAATGTTCTGTATGTACAAAACATATAAATGTCTAGATTTCCATAGGCTTTATCCTCCATAGGCTTTATCCTCCTCCTCTGAAGTATACAAACAAGATCTACATTATAGATTCCAGGAGACTGCATGGGAGGAGAGGGACCATGCAAAGTGAATATTATCTTACTGTCTGCTGATCATTTGGCATACTTGGATAATGCTGTATGATGTTTGCTTGCTACCTTGGACTTTATTCATTGTATTAAAACCATTCACTCTTCATACTCTTTATGACATAAAGTATGTGTTTTAATCCAGATTTCTCCTGTATTTGAACAGGCTGTGTATGACACCCAACTAGCTGAACTTTCCGAAAGAGAAACAGGTCACAAAACCCACCAGTTTTGTCCAGCTAGTTCACTCTCATAGCAAAAGCAGAGAAATACATCTGAAAGCTGTTTGGTATTCAGACTGTTTATTATTCTGCTATGTTTCTGAGTCATCTAATTGCTGCTATTTGTCCCGAATTTTTTCCCTTTTTTGAAAAAAAAAAAAGAAGAAGCACAGTGCAAGAAAAGAATTTGCTATTGCTAGTGTGTAGATGAACATTCTGCCTACAGCACAAACTATCCCGTGTTCCGGCTGAATCCGTGACAGTGAGGACTTAGGAGAAGCCTCATTTGAAATCATAATTTTTGCAAGTCAGCATTTAGGTAGCTTGGCAGACCTCTGTATAATCATTCAGATGGGCACGTGCCACATACTTGCTTTTTGACAGTCCATAAAACAAGCTTCAAAAAGGTGCATGAATCCTTTTGGAATAAGAAGAGCTGAGTTATTCTCTACTGTACAGTGAAACAATGTAAGTAAGTGCACATATCTTAAAAACAACAGTCACCACACAAACCTGTGCTATGTGAGCATTCCAAGATTCTTGTTGCAAGCTCTTCTTTTTCATGCCTGGATTGGCTGCTGATTTTCAAAACATCAAGGATAACAATTGAATGACCGGAATTTAAGCAGTGGTGATACATTTTCCACACATCTCGGTGCCTCTAAAGCCTCCAGTGGCTTCTCTAAGCAGTGCTACAGCCACAGCTCATTTGCTGGTACTGCTGGATTCCACGGGATCAGAATGGTAAGAAGCTCTTTGGATTTTACCAGATTAAGAAAAAAAAATATAGCTGCTTGGAACTGAAGGCAATGTGTAGCAGAACCTGCTAGTGAAAACAGTAGAAGGCAATTATTTAAAGCAAGCTGCAAGTGGCTAACAATAGCGCTATCAATATTTTGTTGGAAGGAACAGGCAAGTTGGTGACAAATTATTTCTGGTACTGATAATGTACAGTTTAACAAAGCCTTTTTAGCTAGAGGATCGTTGTTTAAAAGAAGTCTTGATATGGAAAGGCTGGTGTTTTCAGCAATAAACATGTAGTTGTATACATTTGGTTGACAATTTTTAAAAAGTACTCCAGGAGCAATGCTGATTTAGATTTATACTTCTAATGGCTCAATAGCATCTATTGATTGCTAGCTTGTATATGACTTTGAGTGGGTGTGTAAAATATGTTTGTCCTTTATATATATAAATTCAATCAAAGTATTCCAGTAAGTACAAAAAACACAGCTTAGGATGTAATCATATGAAAAGTAAGCAAAAATGGAGAAAGGCAAAAGTATATTTCACACTGCAAGGAATGTTTTATCTGTCTTTTTAATCTTTAGATTCTTAGGTGCTAAATAATCACCAGGGGCAGGAGAAAGGCTGCACACTGTAAGCATTTGGATCTACCCTAACTGGGAAAAAACCCCCACAGGATTCCTTAATTAAATATATAATGAAACCAGTATCCTATATGAAAGCTTATTTTAATCATTTATCAGAATAAATTTAAATGATAAGGAAACAATGAGTGCACCAAAACACCGAAATACAAATCCTTTAAATAAATACTTTGTGAAAACAGCAAGCTATAAAATATGCTTATTTGATAACTGACACGGTTATTAGCCTCTTTGTAATTTAAATAAAAGAAGAAAATCTGAGGCAGATTGTTGTCTTTTTTTTACTTTCAGCAGGATGTTTCAAGCAAACCAACAGATAAAAGAAATATTTCAAAGTATGATTGCCTCAAAGTAGGAAAATAGATAACAAATAGGCTGTTGGCACTCCAGCGTGATATTCTGGAAGAAGTTCAGCCCTTCATGTTATTTGTTACCAAGTCAACAATGTCTGTGTTGAACATGCAATAACTATAACTTGCTGAAGCACTTACTTTCCATACATGTTACCATAACAGATCCTAACACAGTGGAACTGGATATTTTCCAAATATTGTATTGTTCATTATACCAAGTGTTCTGCAACCTCCATAAATAATGTTAGATAAAAGAAAGGTTAAGTGAAATGTTCAACTAAAATGTCTTTTTTTGTTTTTTGTTGTTTGCTTTCCTCTGGTTTTACTAAGGAAAGGTGGACCATGATTCTGAGTTATGTGAAATGATAAGGAACCTAGGTCATGGGCAGCATTTGAAAGAATTCTTGATGGGTAGATTTTGCCAGGATATGAGTGCCACAAGATTATGTGGAGCACCACAACAATATAATAAGAGTAACTGAATACTGTTCCTTCAAAATATACAAACATAATGTGGACATGAAATCATAAGAATCTATCTGATCTCTGAACATGTTATACAATGTAGAGATCCCAAATAATTTAAAACTCTCATATTTTGTGATATTCATATATATGCTGATTATCATACAATGCTTGGAAATTTTAACGTTAAAATCATGGTAAATAAGAGTATAATAGGGAGAGAGACAGTCTGCTTTAGGTTATAAAGTGCATGGAGCAACAGGATGACAAGTGTGTTGCATTGTTTCGTGGCAAAGAGACATTGGCTGCATTGCACATATACCTGGACAATACAGAATGGTGTCTTTGTTCTCCGGGGCTTCCTCTAGGAAGTGCTAAATTTCTCCTACATAAGTCCTGGATCCTGTTTCAGCAAAGGAATTAGTGGGACCTACTTCTTGAAGAACAGCATTGACAGACCAGAAACAACATTGAATTCTGTCCTGAGATAGTTATTCCACAGATAAGCATATGTGAAAATTAATTCATCCATGAAAATACTTTCACATATACCTTGACAAGACTATTTCCAAAAGTATGATTATGGCAGCAAAAGTTAGATGGCCACTGACACACAGGGTGTAGCATGGTTATCATTTACAGAACACACTGTATTTTGCTTGACTTCTTACACTTTTACTGCTAATTTAATTTTATGTGAAAATATTCAAAATGAAATAGTACTGACCAAGTGGCTGCCATTTCTTTGCTGAATCCGCATCCAACAAGGGGATGTCTTTGCAAACAAATGACCCTATTAATTTGGAGTATGATGGTTTTCTGTTGGCTGCTGTGGAACTGGGTGGGAAAGATCCAAGGAATCAGACTTGCTCAAATGACCACATTATGGGGGAATGTCTAAGTGGTTTTTGTATTTGGATGTAATTGTAGGGACTAGAGGATAATTTCATAAATGCTTCATTTTAAATGGAAATCAGTTTTCAGCATACATTTAGCTTAAATAGGCATGTGTCGTAGGCATGTATACTTGGGTCAAACTAAAATAGTATAAATTAATCAAAATATAAGTTATATCTTTTCACATTCATTCTTTGTGAGCTGTGTGTCTTAGAAAAAATAGCGCATTCATCTTAGAAAAATTGCAGGTTCTTGTGTTTCTTAATTTTCTTAGCAATAGCATATGACAAATTCTTCAGTGTTGACTTTACACTTCACTATCTGACACCAGGAAGAATTTTCAGATAAAATATCTCAGCATAAGAAATCTTGATAGCTCCCCTGCAGGGTTCAAAAAACTGCTATTCTGGAACAGAATACATTTCTTTTATGTCTTTGAACTATGTTCTAGAAGAGGCATTTCTCTAAATGCTCGTTCTCCTTCAACGTTTGTTACCTCAGACACAGTCTCAGATTAATTTTTATTGCCTTCCTAGTGATCCTACAGGAACCAAACCAGTGCTATGGTATTCTGAAGCCTGAGAATATAGGGAGTTGCTATGGAAACCAACTCATAGCCTTGAAGGGGATCCTCTTAACTCTGTTCAGGGAGGGGCACAGGTGAAGCAAAAGAACAGAGATCGGGGCTAGGATGTACAAGATCTAACTCAGATAAAGGTCTTCATCTTGAGCCACAGAGAGTGACACAGAAATCTCAGGGACAGGGTTTTTATATAGTGGTACAGATTGCATTAAATATAAAGGCTTAAAGCTGGAAATGCTAATATTAAAGGAGAACATATGGAAAGTTTTGAATTCACATAATTTTAGACTGCTTCATACTATCCTTCCCAGAGATAGTTGGCCCTTGTGGGAAACAGAGCACTGGACTTTTTTGGTAAGATTGATTTTGGTATCATTCAGAAAGGTTCTTTGTACATTCTAGCAAACATATGTATTTTAAGTCCTAACTATGCACATTTAACAAATTAGTTAAATAGTTTACTGGAGTGTGGCTTCTTCTCATTGTTGCAATTTATGAACTTCTCTTTTTAAGGCAATTTGTTTAAAAAAATGATCAGGTTATAAAACTATTCAAGTCTTCAGGTAAAATCCTCTGTCAGAAACTTCAAAATCAAATTTCTGAATAACATGATACACCTTTTTATAGGTGTGCATCAATTTAACAGAAAATAGTTAGTACTTAGGCTGAATATTGTTGCTATATGGGTCCTAAAGAATGGGAGCCAAGATATGAGTAAGATGATAAACCAGGTACAAGACTAGCTGAGCTTTCATGTTACACAAGGTTCTTCATCAGGTTGAATGGAAAGGTAGCTCAAAGCTTGGCCTGGCCCACTGTGATTAGAATCACATGTTGGGAGTTGGGGGAGAAGAAAGATGGAAGGCAAAGACCAACCAGTGTGGCCCAGCCCCTTCCCTCAATTCTAATAGCATAGGGTGCAGGGCAGTGCCAGGTTGGTTATCAATAAATGGAGCAAATTTTGAAGATCAATTACTTGGGAGAGTGATATAGTTTGATAAATATTTTAGCATTTCAGAACTGTTAAATACAAAGTGTCAAGTATTAGATGAATCCAAATGTAAGAAGAGATTTATAGGTTAATCAAACCTGTCTTAGCATCTCTGAGGCATAATTCATGAAGGGCCAGTAAAAGGCATATTTGATCACCTAAATATTGGAAAAGCTTAATATATCTCCATTATAATAGGTACTCTCAGGTAGTGAAAATCTTGCAAGAATATACATATAGATTATAGACACAATAAAGACACAAGTATTACACAAGTAGCATTTTTTGATAGTTGCTTGAGTCTTATTTCAATGATCTAATTTAGTTTTGTATCATTGTAGTAGTTCTTACTTGGAGAGTCAGGAGATAACTTTAAATTTAATGTCCAGTGATAGTACTTTAAAAGATGTATACTACACATATAATTCAGCACTAAATTCCAGTTTCATCCATATAATTTATTATGTAAATAGTTGCCTATTAAGGTTCATCTGAAGTCTTTCATGCAACAATAATGGAGGCCTTTTCATTGAAATGGCAGACCACCATGTATTAGGGGCCCCATCAATTTGTTTTTTTATGCAGGTAGGCTAGGCAAGGGCACTGGCATTAATTTGCCAGAGTTATTTCCCTGGCAAAAGTGCCACAGTTGCTGTCTGTTCCCTCTGCTGCAGTCCGTCAAGGACTCTCTACCTTCTTTAGGATTCTGCAGTGAAACTGTGAAGTCAGCAACAAACAACATGAAGGAAACTATTAAGGAAAAGACGGCTTCCTTTGGAAAATGAAATTCTTGCCCCAATGAGGAAAACATGAAGGAGCATGTGCTTGCACAAGGGAAGTTCAAGCAGAAAAACCAAAGGGTCATTCTGAGGGCATATTGCTAATAACATGAAGGCCAATAATACAAGTATATCAGAAGCAGGAAACCAGCTAGAAAAGCAGTTGAATCACTGAAAGATAATATAGTTAAGTAGTACTTAAGGAAGAAAAGAAGAGCACAGAAAAGCTGAATGATTTTTCCCTTTTATCTCCACTGCAAAGGATACAGAAAAGATAACTGTTCC